CCCCCCAAGGAATAATTAACAGTTAATGAATGAGGCTGTGTGTCTTATGAAGAATTATGGAGATCGAAGAGGGTGTTATCCGTCGAGGCGGATAACACCCTCCGAGATCTCCATAATTCATCATATGATGCAAAAGCCGAATTCAATAATTGTTTTATTATTCATTCAAAATAATTCCTAGTTTAAAGCTGCCAAGGTCCGCGTGCGAAGCAACGAACTTAGAATCTTTTAAGACTTTAATTAAGATATTTTTATTTAAGGAATCATTTCAGTTATCTTAGTATATCTGTATCTTAATTTGGAATTACCTTTTACTCATTTAATGAAAATATTTTTTTATTATTTTGATAGAATGATTTGTAAAATTTAGTTATTAATTACTATTGTGATGCGCTTTTGAATATTTTATAGAAAAGGCGCAATGCAAATAATAAATGTTATTGTTATTGTTATTGTTAAAACAAAGCTAAAACATGCTTACCTCCATCGATGTTAAGTTCACCTTCGATAGTGCACGTTAAGGGTTTTTCAGCTCCGCAAATGTTCTCCAAATAGCAGAGGTAGCCCTTCGAGTTGTGTTTTTGCTGTTCTTGCCATGTTTTTAGCTATAATTTCGCCGAGTTCCTACTCTTAAAGCGAGTGAAATGTCCGCCATTCTTTGTTTTCACAACGAAAACAACTCAACCTCGTCCCCAGGTCTTCGTGGTTAACGGTGCCTTAACCTGCAAAAACGCTGCATTTTTGACGTCATTTCCTCGTTAAACACAAAATTCTTCCAAATTTGGTCATCCGTAACTGGTTATGGTGAATTATGCGTGTGCTTTTAGCCAATCAGAATCGGGGAAATATTTTGAATGAATAATAATGTTCATTACTTCACACTCACCCAAGTTTCAAATTTGCCGCCTCGGTAGTCATCGGAATTTTGCATGCGTGAAGACGCCATTGTTTAAACCATTTCAAAAATGACCAAATATGGTCAATTTTACAACAGAAAACAAAACCTATTGATTTCGAATTTGATCCGCTTTTCTTGATACTAATGGTGACGTGTTTAGCAGCACAGACAGTACATGCAGCTATAATTTGCAACCATGATGGCGACGCCAGCGAAAACAAATAATGAATTCGCGTTCTCTTAATCGGGATTATTATGCTCGTGATTATTATTCTCAAATTTCTCGCGCGAGTATTTCGCGCAGGGCTTATCGCTTCAGAGTGTAAAAAGGGGGTCGGTAGGCAACACACCACTCTTACCTCGTACCAAATGCTTCTTGTTTCAACGAGTGTTTTCTTCTGGTGGGTCGATTATGCTCTGGAGGGTTCTACGTTTAATAAACTGAGCAAATGTGATTTTTGCCGCTTTTTTCAGGCTGAGAGGTCGTGACACATATAATGATTTTTTTTTCGGGTAATCTTTCTGGTCGACATGATTTGCCCTCTTTTGCAAGAGCATTTTCTTCGACCTTTTTTGAAATGTAAAGTTCTTCTGTGAAAGGTTTGAACCCAGGAGTCATTTCATAAGTAGGTTGAGTTTGATCGTCCGGGTGAACGTAGTCCTGAATAGGACTGTTGTTGTTGACAGTGACTGACTTTTCGACAACCTGTGCGGTGGTCACCTTCAGAGTCAAAGTGAGTTGCATCACGTTAGTTGATGATATAATGTCAATGAGCCTGTAATCATTTCAGAGTATAGTATGATATAATAATAGTATAACATGATAGCATAATTAACGATTATTCCTCGAGCCCGAATTGGCTCTGAGTCAATAGCCCATGAGGCCGAGGGGAGAATGGGCTATTGACTTAGAGGCCATGAGGGCGAGAGGAATAATTGTTTTAGTAAAATCCAACTGGTTGGTCAAAAATATCGAGAATAAAAGAATTTTAGCTAGTTAAAGCTAGACTTTAATCCTTTTTTGCCGCCAAAAAGCCGGCGCTTTTCGCTACTGGTGGGCTATAACATATAGCCTAGTAGTAGCTCAACCAATCAGAACGCAGCGTTGATAATAGACCACTAGTTGGATTTTACTAATATGCAATATCCTCTATACCGGAGGTCGTAATATATTCTAAACTCGATCCCTATTATGAAAAACCCCAGATTCTATAACCACCTTCATCTCTTTCCCCTGAGCCTTGTCCTCTTAATTACTTCAATTTACTGACACTCATCGAAAGCAGAATAACACGTGCTCGACTTAAAGTATCAAGTTAGTTTGAATTTTGCGTCCAAATATCTTTCAGAGAAGTGGAAGAAGATCAATACTGGCCCAGTCTGCTTTGGAGCTCGAGATGACTCATATGGGGCTTTCAACATCAGAGAGAGTGGGGTCATTTATACCTTTAAACTCGTTCATCTGAGTGGGTCAGTTAGATGTAGCCACACACTCCCACCTTCTTATTGGGGATGTGTCAATCCCTGGTATGGAGACACGAGACTCTTTACTGTCTTAAGGTGACTCGACCCAGTTTTTTTTGGGGGGTACCACCCTACTTTGAAGCTCTCTGGTATCCCCACCTTTACTTTTATCGTAAGTCTAACACATAGAATGGATAACATATAGATCAATCTACAATATAACATAAAATTTTTGGCGATCGGAGTAAATGTCACGTGGTTATAATGCCACGCCCCTTTGAGGTCTGAGTCGAAAATCTGCTGTTGCCGGCATTTTTTCGTGAAAATCTCTCGGCTACACATAGTGCGCATTAGTGCCTTGCGCTGAACAGAGTTTCACCAAAATCGCAAAGACCCAATTCGAGAAATTCAGCGGTTTCCAAATTTAGGTCATAATTTATGCGAAAATGATAAGCAAACTTTACACGGATTATATCTAATAAACTATGAGATTCATCTCTTTATTTTGGGCATCGTTATAACAGATGGGTCCTTGCAAGTCAGCAAAACGCTTTAGGGCCTTGTAAATGCGCGCGATTTCGAGCAAAGCAAACATATAGAAATTATAGTTTTCGCTATTTGTTGACGTTTGTCAGCGTTTAAGAGTCCTTCTCACGAAAAAAGCATTTTCTTAAAAATTCGTAGTTTTTTTTCCTTCAAATTTTTTCAGGGCCACAATTGATTAACTAACTACCCGGACTCTGAATTTCATGGTCATTGAAAAACTGTGACATTATCTTCTATAAGCCCAAACTTGAGTAAACATTGAAGATTTTTAGCGTTTTGGCTGAGTTTGTGCTTTGGGAGTTGTCTATTGTTTCTAGTCTGTCATTATACAGCATTCTTGTTCAGCACGCGTGCAATGACCACGCTTGGCTGACTTCCGAATGCTCACCGAGATATTCCCGTCACGAGTTGGTTTAATTATTGGCTTGCATTAAACCTATGAAAAAATGATATTTTTTTAATAGTAAGTAGATTTAGTGTGTAGCACTTCTTGATTTTTTTGCAAAGGCACAAGAAGCACGAGAATTGATTAAAAATTGTGACTTAAACCTCTATGTATCACGCGATGGCCTGTCTCACTGTACCAAAATTATTATATCTCGGTGAGCATTCGGAAGTCAGCCAAGCGCGGTCATTGCACGCGTGCTGAACAAGAATGCTGTATAATGACAGACTAGAAACAATAGACAACTCCCAAAGCACAAACTCAGCCAAAACGCTAAAAATCTTCAATGTTTACTCAAGTTTGGGCTTATAGAAGATAATGTCACAGTTTTTCAATGACCATGAAATTCAGAGTCCGGGTAGTTAGTTAATCAATTGTGGCCCTGAAAAAATTTGAAGGAAAAAAAACTACGAATTTTTAAGAAAATGCTTTTTTCGTGAGAAGGACTCTTAAACGCTGACAAACGTCAACAAATAGCGAAAACTATAATTTCTATATGTTTGCTTTGCTCGAAATCGCGCGCATTTACAAGGCCCTAAAGCGTTTTGCTGACTTGCAAGGACCCATCTGTTATAACGATGCCCAAAATAAAGAGATGAATCTCATAGTTTATTAGATATAATCCGTGTAAAGTTTGCTTATCATTTTCGCATAAATTATGACCTAAATTTGGAAACCGCTGAATTTCTCGAATTGGGTCTTTGCGATTTTGGTGAAACTCTGTTCAGCGCAAGGCACTAATGCGCACTATGTGTAGCCGAGAGATTTTCACGAAAAAATGCCGGCAACAGCAGATTTTCGACTCAGACCTCAAAGGGGCGTGGCATTATAACCACGTGACATTTACTCCGATCGCCAAAAATTTTATGTTATATTGTAGATTGATCTATATGTTATCCATTCTATGTGTTAGACTTACGATAAAAGTAAAGGTGGGGATACCAGAGAGCTTCAAAGTAGGGTGGTACCCCCCCAAAAAAACTGGGTCGAGTCACCTTAACGTTCAAGAACAGATCCGCTCTTTTGTTGGCAGATTACAAGAAAGAAAATTGTGGCTACCCATATAAGATCGAAGGTGTAGGTGTTAATTACAACGAACTTCGATTTAACAATCTTCCCTCTCCAATATCTGTGTCTGTTGGAGATGAGTTTCAAATTTGGTACGGACAAGACTTAAATAACTGTTCAGAAGACAACAACAGCGGTCAGACATGTGTTGATGTTTATGCGTGGTACGCGTGAATTAAAGGATAAACGATACTCACCAGGGAAACATTTAAAATGCAAATGCATTTCAATCTAATAGATTAAATTATGGCTGACTTTTATGTTCTGTAAGCCCTGTTTCAAAAGTGTTGTCTGTTTATGGATGTAAGCTCACAGCAAGGGCTATTGAAACTAGAGAACCGTGCATTTTTGGCGATTAATCAAGTAGAAAGAAAATCTTTAATAAGTAAATCCAATAAAGGCAGCTAAGAATTTGGAATGTATATACAGAGGAACCTCGACATAACGAAGTCCTCAGTATAACGAACGATTTTTTTTTTTTTTTTAATTGATGAAGTTTTGGATTTTATAAAGCTCTTGCTTATAGCTGTATACCGGACACAAATTACTAGAAGAAGCAACCTCGTTTCCAGTGTTTTCTCTCATACCTTGAGAAAGAACCCTGGTTGCTGCTAGTCACGTGGCTCCCACAGAGGTTTTGCCTCAAGGACCTCAAGGGTGGGGTAGTACGTATATTCTGTGTCCTAACGGGTTCGCCGAGATGACTGACGGCAGCGAAAAACGAAAACATCAGTTAACTTTTGAACTTCAGAATTCGCGTGTTTTTAAAAACCCTACCTTGATGAGGAGTCCATTATCACAGAAAGTCACACGACCAGCTGCAACCAGAGTTCTTTCTTGAGGCAAGAGAGAACCCTGGGAACGAGATTATAGAATAATCAAATTTCTCAGACGTTCCCGTTCTGCAACCGCAAAAGAAACGCAGCAGGTATGAAATGAGAAATGGTTATGAGGCCTGTCAGATCTGTTTGTTATATGTTTTTCTTAGCCTTTTCGGACATGACGGTGTACAACATTCAATGACATTCCCATCATTCTGCTTTTTTCTGTGTCTGTTTGTTGTTGTTGTTTTTTTACAACGTTGCATTAATTTATTTAATCCATTTCTTAACAATTTTTTAAGCATCCAACTTAATCCAGATAAACTGCGGCACCGTTGATTTGATCTTTTAAGTTTGCCGGCTTTCATAACTAGTTTCCTGTACTAAGGCTGCAAATATGATGGAACATGATGGTGTATACCCCATTTGCATGCTAATGTATATGTATCGCATATTCTTTACAGATGTATACTGGTACAAAGAGCACACTATTTACTTAAATAGTGGATCTTTTTTCGCCAGTAGTTTATTTTAAGCTGTTTTCGTATGTTAGCTATTTTGTCCCTTTTCTTTAGACCTACTGTAATCAAAAAATGTTTAAATGTAACAGAATTTGTCCATAACAGATTTGTTCACAAACTAATGAGCCAGAGGGTATTGTAAATGTTTAGAATGCACAGTATGTAATACAAAAAAAAACAGAATTCCAGGACCAGTTAAAAGTGTCTCAGGTAAACTGAAAACCGTGATGTCTCAATCTTTGATAGCACGTTTATATTTGTGTAATAAATTGTGACTGTCTTACTATGAACTCTTTCCTGGCTTTGTTATTTGTAGGCCCAGATATCGTTTTTGCATGGATAAAGTTTAAAACGTACACCGTTGTATTCACAGTTAAATTTCCTAGATTTTCTACGTCTGAATATACAGGTGATTTTACCCTCGAAAACTCATCCCTTGTTCTTACTGGCATTTGGTTCTCAGTTCCCGGTTTTGCTGTGTTGTCGGGTCCATTCGTAAAGAGGAACAATGTCAGCAAAGTTGTTTTGAAAACATATGTGCCATTTATGACTTTGCTGCCTTTGATTGTTAAAAAGTCAGTAATTTTTCGATGTTAGGTAACCAAAAGAAACCGCTAAAGGTGGATTAACTTCGTCTCGGGAAACATCAGAACTCTCGGGAAAACAAAACTAACTGTTTCCCGCGGGATCTGAGATTCAGTGTATAATATTCTTCGTCTCTTCTTCGTCTTCTTCGACTTCGTGTCGGGAAACATCAAGACTCGAGGGAAAACAAAACTAACTGGTTTCTCGAGGGTCCTGACATTAAGTGTTTTGTTATATCTCTAGACTTTTACTTCAACAGCCTCAAAAGAATAACCGGATCGAGCCAAAACAGTCGACTCAGTACTCTTTACTTTCCTTATACATGTTATATTTTCTGCATCTTTTCCTCCACTAGCTGCTGTTTCTCTTCTGGGATGACTTTGAAAATCGTTGCTTTTTAGCTTGAGGCGTCGTGTTTGTTTTCACGTTGTTGTGTTCATTCACGAAAAAGAAAACTGGCAGTGTTTTTCCGCCTTCTGTGACACCACTTTCCACCATGCTTTGATCACGTGCTGTAATGTAGTCCGAGCGGGATACATTGCTATTGTCCACGGGCTGAATTTGTTTCCTTAAGTACAGTACTGTTTGCCCGAGGGTAAGAGTCCTTCTGTCATAATTATTTCCTAGATTCAGGGTGAGTAACTCCCGTGGTATTTATCAGTCGTATGAAGTTGCTCCCTCCTGGTCTGGAAGTCCGTATATTTTATTTTTTTCGTCCGTGTTCTTTCCTTGTTGTGGGATCTCTTTTTATTTCGGTTCCTCTCTCTTAGGAAGAAAGAAAGGAAGGAAGGAAATAAGAATGCTAATTAGCGGAGCGGGAAATCAAAACGGAAACGGAAGTGGGTTTTGGGTTAGTCATGTGATTCCTGTATTAGCGCCTAAATATCCCACTCGTGGGTTGGCTTAAAGGACCTCCCGACCGGGAGGGAAACGAGCGTTGAATGGCATTGGAAGCATGTTTTGTTGCCGGACGTTTTGCCACTGTTTGGGTGTGAAGGTTAAGGTTCCCTCATGAGTTCATTGCTGGGGGCCTCCATAATGAGCAATCCACATGCCCGTTGGCAGAGAGGATCCTCGGCTGGATCAATCATAGATTGGATATTTTACTGTTCTATCGACCGTTCTCTGGCTCGGAGTTATTGCCTTATGGGAATAGGGCTTGGTTGAAATATCTTTTCTCGCCCTCTAACAGTGATAGGGAAAGTTTCTCCTCGATGCGTGACCTCACAGGCTGCCCGAACCGGGCCAAGTGTTTACTCTGTAGCCTCACGCCAACAGCCAGAAAGCGAACACTTCACGCTTCTTGATACTCCATATATGCCAGGAAGCTGAGGGTAGTTTCGAAAACGAAGCACTCGAAAACGAAGACCGAAGCACGAAGCACCCAAATCTCCAAAACGAAGCACCCAAAACTGGAAAACGAAGACCCTAAATCTCGAAAACGAAGCACCCTAAATCGAAAACGAAGCACCCAAAACTCGAAAACGAAGACCCTAAATCTCGAAACGAAGCACCCTAAATCGAAAACGAAGCACCCAAAACTCGAAAACGAAGACCCCTAAATCTCGAAAACGAAGCACCCAAAACTCGAAACTCTTGGCCCTTGTCGTCGATACCATTGAAAGGGTAGTCAGCTGTGAAAACTGCTCCATACACACCTTTTCCTATCTCCTCTTTGTTAAACAATTTTGAAAAGTCGTAAACCGGTAGTCCAGAGCAATCAACAGTTGTTCTTGGTTTGACAAGAGGCATTTTAAACTCCATAATCAAAGCTCTACTCAGCGCATCCTGACACGAGACTCAGCGAGACTGAGCTAACTTGCGCAATAATTTAAAAAATTGCAGAGGTGTGAAAAAGGCAACGTGATCAGTGGTGAAAGTATTAAACAACAAATCTCACTCTTAAAACTTGTCCTCGTTAATGCTACGTTTTTTTTATTATTCACTGAGGCGGTGCAGCCGGTTGAAATAGATAACAAGCATTAAAAGAATCAAATGGCATATAACAAACAATAATATTTTTCAACTACAACAACGTGTGAGCAACACATTAAAATTCATACAAGATTTCAACTACAACAAACGGAAAATCAATTTCCGTTAGTGTTTGCGGTTTTCTCACACCTGATTAGTCTCGTGTTTATAAAGGCAGACCGGTTTTGAGTTCTTGAGTGCTTTGTTTTCGAGTTTTGGGCGCTTCGTTTTCGATCTAGGGGTCTTCGTTTTCGAGTTTTTGGGTGCTTCGTTTTCGAGATTTGGGTGCTTCGTTTTCGAGTTTAGGGTGCTTCGTTTGCGAGATTTGCGTTCTTCGTTTTCGAGATTTGGGTGCTTCGTTTTCGAGTTTTGGGTGCTTCCAATACGGCGGGAACTTTTGCTTCTCTAAGTTCTTAAGAGTCAAACGAAGCAAATTTTATATGACCTATTGACGGGGTTTTCACTGAGAAAATGTTAGCTTTATAAAGGCGAAAGAGTCCGGAAATGCAGTGAAAATAGCTGTAGTCCTCTGTTTAGCGAGCTAACAATGCAAAGTGATTTTCTCTTCTCTATGACCGGAAGCTCACGCCAAGTTATATTCTGCCTCAAGAGATGATAAAAATATTAATTTTGATGTTTTTCTCCCGGTTTTCTGTTTTACTTGCCTATGAGCAAGCTATTTTACTGTTAGATCGATTGATACGACAAAAAAGTTTCGTCCCATTTCCATCATCTTTGCATACATTGTCCGCTTCTCCTTTCTCAGTCAGTGGGAATCATTAAAAGAAAGAATACTCAAAGCTCTTTGCCTTCCCTCGTCTCCCACCATGTTTGAATGTGGCGAGCTTTTTTAACACGACTCCTCGATTAAATAGAATTATTTGAATGTATTAAAAAGACGAGCACCAAGAAAGAAGTTTTATCAGTTAAATTGACCAAGTGAAAAATATTGTTTCGCAACGGGACATGAATCGACCAAGAAATATTCATAAGCACATAAAAATACAAACGAAACTAATTAAAATTTCAAGTGTTGACGCCCTATGAACATGTTTCTAGCTGTAAACTTGAGCCTTGGTCCAAAACAATAGGAGTTGACAAGTTACTTAATTATAATCACCACAAATATTTCATGAATGCACCGTTGATTTCGCATTAAAATCGGCTAGCTTGTAATTGCGAGTCTGTTGGAGATGAGTTTCAAATTTGGTACGGACAAGACTTAAATAACTGTTCAGAAGAAAACAACAGCGGTCAGACATGTGCTGATGTT